TGAAAACCTTAATCTAATTTTTTTCTAAAAAATATAATTTATTTCATTAACTAGTTACATATATACTATAAGGATTGAACGAAGTGAAATATTTTCAACAGAAGTAGTTTTAGAAGAACCAACCAACCACCTTCTTATTGCACCGTCTCGATACTATTGCATTATTACTGTACCGGCTTAAAGTTTATTGCATTCACGCAAGATTATATGGTAGTTAAGTCTCATTGACCTCTGACAACACTTATTAGGCAATTGCCGGTTCTAATTTGATAAGCAACGAGGAGAGAATATTTACTAAAGAACTTTATTCAGTTAAAGTGGGAAAAGTTCTCTAAGAACTGTTTCAGCTCTGTTTACAAAATGCTATAATGCTACTCAATGCTGGTATACTACGGACTTGTATGCTTAGTGTTTTAAAATCGAAGTAATAGTTGGATTTAAGTCCAACTTTTTCATTTCGTAAAAAACCCGTATTAAGCACATTAAACTGGCTTTAGTCCTTCAATAAGTGTTACATTAAAAATGTGTTCACAAATGTTGCAGTAGGTTCTAGAACTTTCAAAACTCAACAATTACAAAAAGCTAAAACCGAGGTTATGACATAGCTCTTCTTCTTGAATGCAGTACTCAGTGAGTGCTCAGTGAGATTTATCATTTAGAATTTCATTGTTAAACTGTAAGAAAATTAAGTGTATCTAGTATTATATCATATTTCTTAAAGGAAATGCTTGGTGTATTCTCGAACATACCCTGAGTCATTGATAGGACTTGGGAAAAATGGAATGATTGTGTGATATTTCATGAGAAAAAAACAAAGTACTGAGTTGGGATTCACATCACTGTTGGTAACTATAAGTTCTACGTTGAGAAAGGCTTTGTTTTTTGGGAACCAACGTAAATAATAAAAATACCGAACATACCCTGACTTATTGATAGGACTTGGGAAAAATAGAATGATTGTGTGATATTTTATGAGAAAAAAAAAAAATACTGAGTTGAGACCCACATCACTGTTGGTAACTATAAGTTCTAAGTTGAGAAAGGCTTTGTTTTTCGGGAACCAATGTAAACATAAAAAATAACGTCAGCCTAGGGACTTAACGATGAATCATTCTTGCCAACAGTTGTTGCTTCGAGCTAAGTAGACAATTGAGAAATATAGTTAGGCTCTCACTTGACAAACAAAAATCACGATATGTCGATCTCTTATCATGGTTGTCCTATTGTATGATGCTGAAGCTTGGACAATTACCAATAGTGATGAAAAAGTCTTGAAAAGCAGTGATTAAGATTTGTTAGACATTTAATAAAAAAATTATTAGAACGAAGTGGGAAGCAGCAGAAGAAGAGAGCAGCCAAGAAAGAGATGGAAAGACAGTGTGCAGCAGAATTTAAAACAAATGAACATAAGAAATTGGAAAAAGAAAAGCAAAAAACAGACAAAAATGTAAGGATGTTGTTTAACAGGTTTAGATCTGACATGGACTGTGTAGTCACGGATGATGATAATGAGAAACTGTTAAGAGCATTCGAAAGAAAAAATCGCCAAAAGATCTTTAGGTTTCTTGTGCGTTGCCAACGAGTATTGAATTAGATGGATTAATGAGCTGTATGACCTCTACCGCGACATTACCACAGTGAAGCTCACAAAAATTTGGCGGTTTCGCTGAGTTGGTCATGTTGTGCGAATTAAAGAAAGTATTCCAACTAGAAAGGTGTTTGACGCATTCGGTTCGACCAAATGACAGGTTCCAAAAATGGCTGGATCTATATTCTGGAGGCACTTTTGAGTGCGACAATAAGTGCCGTTCACCACACCCAAAAAGGACTACACAGGCAGATCTCTGCGGGTCACAACAACAACAGCAACAACCAACTGGCGACAGCGAACTAGAGATTGGGCTGACTGGCGGAGGCCACTGGTCGCAGTCAAGTACGACTCACGTCTATAGTGGCCAGCTAAGTAAGTAAGTAATGTAATATTTCAGTACAGTGAGAATCCGGTTAATGATGATTGTGTGAATGTCAATATTGATTACAGCTTCAAATTTTTTCTTTCCTGTTCTTATCCTTCTTTGTACTTCTTGAAGTATTTATCGCTGGTGTGGGCTCAAGAGCTCCACGCCACGTCAAAATTTAAGACATTTTTGTTTGTATTACATAATTTAACATTGAATAATATTTACTTTGTTTCACTTTGATTTATTTAAATCAAAAGCAAAAGCAAAAACAAAAACAAAAACAAAAGTGAAAACAAAATAAAAGCGTATGTATGGTATTAAGCGATATAATGATGTACCACCAAAAATATTCTGATGTAATAAAAATCACCAGCTGAGCTCAATTATATTAATTATCTCATTTTACGAGTAGTTATGATTATTACTCATTATTCTATGTCATAAACAACATTAACTCGGCTTTTGGCGAAGCACTTACATTTCCTTTTGGTTATGCGAGTGTGTTTGTGTATGTTAACCTGTGTATTATTTTGCGTGTGTAGTATTTTGTGGGATGTTAGAAAAAAAGTTGAATGAAATACATAATTACAATAAAAACGCGAATGTAAGTAATAACAGCACTAAGCACCAAGCACTAAGCAGCAAGCACCAGCTACAACGCTAACACAAGTACTAACAATAAAAACACAAAACAAAAACAAAAACATAAACCAAAAACAACAACAACAATAATAATAACAGCAACACCAATAGAACAGCCATATACTAAACGTTAAATGCCTTTAACTACAACTATGTAATGTAAGCAACAGTTTTATCTTGTTGTGTGTTATTTTGTTGCTATTTGTGCTGCTGCTGCTGTTGTTGTTGTTTTTTGTTTTGTTATTCTTAATCGTGTTGTTGTGGGTTTGCTACTACTTTTTGCTATTGCGGCTAAAGGTGCATAGTTGTTGATGACAATGTTTACATATATGCGCATTCATATGTGTATGAGCAAACTCTTCATCAACTCGTTAATATTTGCTGTGTGCAAACTGTAAATGCTCTGCTGTTGGTATAATGAATGGTTGATTCTTGCCTTCGCTGCTGCTGCTGTTGTTGTTGTTGTTGTTGTTCTTGTTGTTATTATTGCTTTGTATAAAATTCATGGATTCATTTGTGCTGCATTGTAGTTGTTGGTGTTGCTGTTAGTGTTGCTGGTGGGACAGCTAGTGGTATTGTTGTAAATATTATTCTTTGGTTTCAATAAAATTTGTTGTGTTTTAGTTAATGTTCTTTTGTTATTTGTTGTTTAGTATTGAGAAGCGTTTGTCTAGTTGTCTGTTTACTTACTGTGTATACTTACTATGCTTTTTGCTTTACAAAAAAATGTTGCCGTTGTTTATATTTGTGTTGTGGATTGTATTGTTTTGTGCTTGCATTTTTGTCTATTCGCTTCGGTTCATGGTTGATACATGTAAACATGTAAGCATGTAAACATGTTGCTAATGCGCATGTGGCGATATGCATTGAAATGTTGCTGGTCGCTGCTTGCTGCTTCATGTTGCCTTGATGTAAATTTTCGTCGGAGTAAAAATCAGTCGTTATCTCGGCGTTCAACTGTTTAAATAGTATGTGGATTAGAGCGGATTGCGCTTGATTTATTTGTGTATTTCAACATTTTTAAATAATTTGTATCTCGAATCTTAATGATTTGATGCCGAAGAAGATGTGAAATGTTGTTTAATAATTAAATAAAAGTACAATAGAAAAAAAAAGAAAATAGTGAACATTGTGAAGTGCGTTTTACTTAATGCATTCGTTGCAGTGTAAGATAAGAGCGTGCGAGCCTTGCGAGACGCATGGAAGCAATAAATAAAATCCTGAAAGGATCAATTAATTGTTGCGATATTTATTAGTTAATAAATTAATAAACTATAATTTTTGATTTAAACCGAAACGGAAGTCGATAGAGAACTATTGAATAAATTTCCGAAATAAAATTGAATTTTGGTGGTAAATGAAATTTTGTGCTCTTGTGTGGGATAAAATTTGGAGTGTTTATGTTGCGGCGCCTCTTCCGTTGCGTGCGTTTGCCAATGCCCATGCCCATACCAGTGCCCGTTACCGTTACCGTGCGAAGATTTAAAAGGGTGCGTCGTTAATCTGGAAAGGTTGAGACTGAGACTGCGACTAACATTTTGTTGGCGGTCTTGGTGACGGTTTTCGCTTGAATCTGTGCAATACGTATTGTGCAATTAATATTCGTATTTATTTTGTTCTCGGTTTTAAAGGTGTTGGAAGTGTTTTGTTAACGGATATGCGCCGTGCAGAATTTTTTGTGTACCAGATGTGTTCGCGTGAAATTTATAGTTACCAGGCAATGCCGGTACCACAAAAATATTGCACATGCAAGTGAACTGTGAAAGGTAATATGTACATGTCTGTAAGCGCGTAATCTCAACATATATAAAGATTGCCATTATAAGGAAAAAATTTTATAATTTGAAAAATTAGTTGGTTTAGAAAAAAACTGAGTTCTAAGAAAAAAAATTAATTTGAAATTCAATAGAACATAAAATAAGCTAACGGCGTATGCGTTTCCTTGCCAAATTGTGCAGTAACGCGTCCGGAATGATTTCGTTATCGGAATCTGTGCCTGAGCGCAAAACTCAGGCACGATTTCCGCAAATTTCATTGCATTTCTGGAGAATCCTAATCGCAATGATCATGTGCTGTGCGGTTCTATTGCCTGAAGCAAATGGCAGACAGTTTGAGCAAAGCGGAACGATTGTATCTGCGATTGGAGTGACTGCTGATGATGAAGCAAATCCAAATTTTGAAATTGCTGAGGAAATCATACAACTGCCTCATGCACTACGCCATCAGGAACACTACGCTCATCACTTCATGTCGAATAGACAAGAACACACTAAAAAGTTATTCTCAATTCCAACAACTAATAAGCCAACAAAATCAGTAACAACAACAATAATTGAGAATAATGAACAAAGTAACAACAATAATTTCATTACCAGCAAAAATAATAACAATAACAACATGAACAGCGCAAATACAAACAACAACAACAACAATAACAATAACAATGACAATGACAATGACAAAAGCAATAGTAAGAGCAATAACAACGGCAACGGAATCAGTAGCCAACACATTGCAGAAAGAAACCGAAAGAAAAAACAGCAACGCCAACAACAAATACAAATCGCACAGTTGCCATTGTTGAATTACAAAGTTTATTGGCCACATGCAATGCAACAGCAACAACTGCTGAAACCTCAAGAAGACTCAGCAGAAGAAATAGACGATGTAGTCGCTACAGATGTTGATGAAGCCGCTGTAATGCACCAAACCCTAAAAGACGAACATCATTTACGCCACCAACACAACAACCAACACAATCCATACACTCAAAACGTTGAACGGAAAGCAGCACGGACGTGGGAGGAGCAACAAATTCTACCTTCATTGCGTCATCATCAAAAACAAAAGCACCACACTTTTCACAGAAACCATTTTGACACCACAACTGAAACTGTTATCAAAAGCAGATCAAGACAAGCCAACATTACGCCTACACCAAGGCCAGCTACTGTGAGTTCCGCAAAAACCAAAGATGCAATTATAACCACAACGGATGCCGCAACCGAAGACATTGATTCCGACAGCAATGAACTTGAAATCGCTGACACAATTCAGCGCTTCGGTGCAGGTCAGACAAATGCCGAAACTCCACCGTTAAACAGGTCAATGCATCGCTACTTTGATCGTGACAGTATTGTGGTAAGTGATCGCAACTTTTGGTTGTTCACAACACGCGGACCAACAACAATTAAATTGCACACAACACAACAACAACAACGTAGTAAGCAACGCTCGGCAAAAGCTGCACATGAAGAGCAGCAACAACAACAACATCAGCGCCAAGAGCTTTATGCTACAAACAACACAAATATAAAAGCGAATACTTTGCAAAAATTTGATCAGCAAAGAATATCTTTGAAATTAAATGCAGAAAATTACAACAACAATAATGGCAACCGCAGGCAAACCAACGATAACAACAACAACAACAACAACAACAACAACAATAGAAACGATCATGATTACAGCAACGAAAACGAACATGAAAACGAAGATTACGAATACGAAAGCGCGGAAGCCGAAGCCGAAATCAAATTGAACACCAATACCAAAGCCAAAAACGAAAACGAAGACGAAGGTGTCAACGAAGCCGATGATAGCGATGCTAAGGATGACAGTGATGAACTGCAACCAGAACATAAAAGTGCAATGACTGCTAATGAATTCTCAACTAAAGTTGCAGTTAAACGTTTTACAAATCCATTTAAAAGTCACATAATAACTCAACACAACAAAAACGAAAACAACAACAACAATGGCAATGTGGGAAAAATACAACAACAAAACCAACAAATGTTTGCAAACTCCGCCTACAATAACGGTAATGCAGCCTACAGTGATGAGAGCAGCAATGACAGTGGTGTGAATGGTATTGCCAATAATGACGACGTTGAGAAAAATCATAGGGACAACAACAATGATAATGATAATGATAATGACGATGTTGATGATAATAATGATGATATTGATACTGACGATGATTATGATAATAACAATAACCGTTTCAATAGCGCAAAATGGCATAAAATTGAGCAGAAACATCATTTAAAGCAACAGCAACATCAGCTCGAGCTACAGGCATTACGCAAAAGGCATGGTGGTATCGCTATGAACAATGTTAGCAACAACAATACTAACCAACACAACAAGAACGCGAACAATAATTTGCCCACGACTTCAGTGATCGCTGCGAACACTGCCAGACGTCAAATTCACGATGATGTAAGTACAATGAAAAAAATCATATATACATATTCCAAATTTTAAATGCATACGTTATGTTTTTGTAATTATTTAGTTTTGATTTACATTTACATTTACAACGAATTTAAATCGGCCGGTCACACTCGCCGATAACCTTACACCGCACAACAATTTTGTTAAAGCTAAAAAAAAATCTGTACAATATTTAACATAACAAAGCTTTAAAGAAAATTACAAAAAAACAAAAACAAAAAAAACAAAGCAAAAATAAAATAAAAAACAAAACAAAAAAAAAACAAAAGTTGCAACATTGACCCCCTTACCCGCTCTAAACCATTGTAAATTATTTCTTGTCACAGTCACAGTTATAGACAACCTCGTCCAGCGTTCACTGTTCACTGTTCAGTGTTCAGTGTTCAGCGTATAGCGTATGCACTGTTTAGTGGTTTTATTGCTGCTATTCTTTCGCCTTTGTTATTGCTATTGTTTTTGTTCTTGGTTTTGAATTTAAATTTCATTGTTATTACTTTATTCCTTGATTAATATCAAAATGATCATTAAGAGCAGAAACGATAGAAGAGATCATTATCTCAATAATTATTTCCATTATTGCCTTTGTGCTGTGTTGCTGTGTTGCTGTGGTGCTTTGCTGCTGCCTGCCTGCCACCATTGCCTGACTCATTATAGTTGCAAATTATATTGCCTAACTTCGGCATGATGCTACACACACACTTGTGAGTGTGTGTAATTATTTACAAGCAGACAAGACGCACGCAGAAGTCAAGATGCAGGTACTTTAATACACTGAACATACACTTCTTGATTACTCAACTTTGTGTGCTTTTCTTTATATTTTGCGTTGTTTTGTTTTATTTCATTTGTGGGAAAGCACAGTAAATTATTTTTGGTATATGAAATATATGGTATATGGTGTATGGTATGTCAAAAGTGCCATTCCAGCGTGTTGCTTTTTAAGAACACGCATAAGTGGCAAGGGCCCACCTGTTCGTTTCTTTAGCGTGGTGTGTGTGTGTGTGTATGTGTGTGTGTTTGGTTGTGATTGCCTTGCTGTGGCGACTATCTGTCATCTTTTTAACTTTGATGTGCAATGAAAATAAGAAGAATTGAGGCAGAATTAAGGCAGCACAAAATACAAAATTTGTGGCAGGCCATGAACTGTGACTTTAAAAATTAAAAATCTTAAAAACTTGGAGTTTCTTCAAGTTTTATGTGAAATTGTTTGAAATTATCTAAATAAATTTTATATTTGCATTGATAATATTTAATGGTTAGTTAATCACTAAACATACCCTACAAAGTGTCGTCTTATTGAACGGGGTCCATAAGGATCGATACTATTTAAAAGACTTACATCTTTTCTAGTTCCAGGTTTGAAAAGATGTAAGTCTTTTAAATAGTTAAATAGTTTAAATAGAAAGAACTTTTTAAGGGACCTCTATCGAAAAAGCACAAAGTTCAATCAGCTACATATATTCACATGATCTTGAACCTAACCTTTAGTTACCTTTTAATTATTCTCCAATGATTTAAAATAAGTTTGAGCTCGTACAGTATATTGAACGAGATATTGGCCGTTGAGATAGCTTTAATAGCAACCTGACTATACGTTAAATAAAAATGAGTAGGGTTCGTTGCTTTGGAGCACATTTCTACGACCATGCCAAATCTTTCGTGCTAAATATATTAGATAATATATTTAACATTTGCCACAAGAAAGCAGTTTCTTAAAGGCGATTATATTTCAACTTAAAATATTGAGTTGAAGTTTTATAAATGATATGATTTGTGCGTTTCAAGTTCTGCAAATAACACTAGTTTACAGCTAAAAAATTCAAAAGACGAGACCTATACTGTCTTTGGAAAACAAAACTTTTTATTATTTGTAAGCTAGTGTAAGTGGATATTATAACCGTCGGTGTAAATTTGTATCCTTCCTTTTGTCGTTTTTGCTGTAGCACGCAAGGATCTATATAGCAGATAACATGAAAGCAATTACAAAGGGTGTAGTACATATATGGGATTATTTCAGAGTAAGAATGGATTGGGTATGGATGGGATCCTTTCGTTGTGATCTACTTTGTTTCTTAATTAGTCGTGTTGACATGAATTTAACCAGAAACCTGAAAAGTAGTCTCTACTCAATTTTTTTAATTATTGTTTTTTATGTTAACATATTAGTAATTTTCAATTTTTCATTTCTTTACCTAATGGAATTTGTTGTACTCTTTAAATATGCACAAATATATTTGCAAAATTTGTTTTGATAAAACAATATTTTCATCCGATTTCTCGAGTGACTATAGTTTGGTACTGCCTCCCTCTAAACGTATGCCTAGCTAACACTACATACTTAGCAAAATTATTATAAAAATTTAATCAACGCAATTGTTATCTCATTCCTCACCATATTAGGGAGGTTAGGTTAGTTTATATCGGTGATCCTAAAAATTTTCTTAAGCCTGTTGCCTCATTGTGTTACTAATTAAGAAATTTAGAGGTTTAAAAACAGTATTGATTGTTTGACAAAGGTTACAAAGGTGTTTGAGGTGCTGAAACTGGCCAAACTTCTCAAGAAGGGAAGCTCCAAATATAGTTATGCCGCGCTTTGCATGAGCTTAGCAACATAAAAAGCAGACATGAGGAACTTTTATTGTCCTTTTCATAACTACAATAGGAATGATTAAATGGGAGACTCAATGTTCTAGCTTGGTTGCCTAATCGGCGGTAACCTGTCAACAAACGATGGTGATACGAGGCATCTCAATGAGAGTGCCGAACTTTTTTTTCACTGGTACGTAAGCAACTTGCATGATGTATGTATACCCTATTAGAGAAAGATAAAAGAATATTATTTTGATGATAAGCCATTAATCGGTATAGATTGAAAATGTTGAGCCCGTTTTTAGTGTAAATGTATCAATAAATCTTCTAAAACTTATCAGCCTATTTTTCGCCGGACGGCAAATTTTTCTGTCAACTCAATGTATCCAATGAAAGTGATGAAATAAAGGTTTAAAATTTAGTACGCTGAAATAGTAAGTAGTCATAAGAAAAAGCTATTCGAAGGATAACTTCGATGTATCTGCTTTATTATTCAAACTTAATAGAGTATATTTACTTTATGTTGAAAAATATGGTACTAAAATGCTACACATTATTGCTAGAAAAGTGTATCTTGCAAGATATGGTAGTTTAAATTTCACGTATATAAGGGACAGTTTTGTATTTTATTTTTATTAAGTGATTTATAATTTTTGATATAAAATCTCTATTGAAGTTTGTTAAAAGGGAAGAAAAAAAATATATATTTATTAGTTACGTATTAGGAAAAATCATTAGCCTTGGGTTTGTTGAGACTTTCTTATTATTTGTACAAATGCAAGTAATTTTTTTTTTTGATTTTGCGGATAATTTTAATGTAATTATATTTTTAAATAACAGCTCATATCCGGTAGTTGTGTTCTATTTATCGACATAATCTCCCTGAGTTCATAATAACATACAGTGTAAAGTTACATTTGGTTGGTTCAAAAACTTAGAGACTATATCCTTGAATATCATTCAGACAGTCAAACAGTTGGACATCGTTAAACAGATTAAATTTAATTCTACATAAGCCAATATTAGGCATTATAGCTTGGACTGATTTCAACTTTGGGTGGCTTTTTCTTGCAGTTGGTAATTTCTCACGTTCTTACATTTGACTCAAACTTGTTAGACGAAACCAATTAACACTTTCGTTAAAGTTCAATATGTTTTCTTAAAGTTTTTAGAAACTATTTGAATTTGGTGGACTTCAAATGGAATTACGTGTGATACTCGGTTTTGCAACATTCCCTCAATCGCAAATGTCCCGAAATGTGTGTTTTATAAGTGATAGTTAAAAATAGATGATGTTTCAAAACACTTTTCAAACCGTGAGCCGTGTAAAATTATCTTGATGCACTTTTACTACTAAGAGTTATCATTTAAGAGTTATCATAATGAAATCCTCTTTTATCTGAAGATAAAAGAGGCAGATTACAGATCTTCATGACAATGTAGTAATTTTTCTTTAATAACATAAAATCGATAAATATCGAATAAAATAATTAAAAAAAAATTATTTAGACATCCACTAAAATAAAAGACTTTCTCGCCATAATCAGGTTGACATATTATGATGTGGTATTTAACAACTTCAAGATTTGCATATAGTATTTTCAGTGTCTGTTGCTAACAAAACGAGCATATCTCTGTTGGTGTTAGCGATATATCCCAGCTGGGCTGCATTTAGGAATACGAAAATGTCTATGCCAAGTTGTATACAAATTTTAATTAATTTTTTCAGCTGCACAACCAAACTTGTACACACACCCACAAGCCGGTGCACACCCATCGAAGTATCGAACTGCAGGGAAAGAAAGATCAACTTGATTGAGTGCAAAGTTGAATAAACGAATTTAAACAATATCGCCAATAATCGGAGCTGCGGGGCCCCTTCATGTCAAAATTTAATAAAAACTATTTTTATTTGCTTTTTTGTTGTTGTATGTTGTTCCTACTAGCGGATACTAAAACGTTTTCAAAGGGGATAGCCGACATTGCAGGCGCCACGGATACCGAAACCATTGTTCTTTTGTGCACTATTTTATATACTCTACACCCTTTGAGTGTAGATCTGTCCTAGTTGTATTGAAATGTGATATAGTTTCTATAGATTTGTTTTTTTTGAGAATTTCAAATATATAACTGGATGGTCATATGTATACCATATATGCCATATTTCATGCTACTATTGATATTATTATAGATTTGCTAGAGATTAAATTTAATCCTACATAAACTATTTTGCATTTTATAAGAAATTAACCGTGCTAAATTTTATAAGCATATATCGAATATTGGTAAGTTCTAAACGTCCATACTATCAAAAGTCCATGTGGTTAACTCTTAGAATACTGTAGTGTATTTTAGATTTCTCTAAAACATCTTAAATGCTATGACTGCTATTATAT